ATTCCTTTTTCATAACAACGCCCAACATTAAATACACCTTCTTTATAATAGTCGAATGCCTTTTTTTCATCCTTTTCTTTTTCTAGATAACGTTTAGGATCAGTAAAGTTGCTGGTCGTTGTTTCTTGAATTTGGTAGTTTCCAACTTTGGGTGTTATTATTTTTGTCTTGATTTTTTATGAATATGTTCTACTAACGAATGTCTTTTCGCTTTTTTGCTAATTTTAGGTTGGTTTTGTCATGCAGTTTGTGTTGTTCTGGTGGGTTCGTTATTGGTGTGGTCCTTCGTCTTATAGTCTGTTGTCATTGTGAGATCCGATCAGCCACTGACAATCACTTCATAGACACCACATTTTACCAACTGACAAGCTCATTTCACTGACAGTTTATTTCACCCAAGCTCATTTTACAAACAAAGTAATTCTAGTCAATATCATTATGGTCAGGTTAGAATCCGAGTTAAAGTTAGTGTAATTTATAAAAAAAAACATGTCGAGCTTCGGTGAAATAGACTGCCGATAAAATGAACTTGTCGGTGAAATGTGGTGTCTATGAAGTAATTGTCGGTGAAATAATACGGATCCATTATAGTTAGAGTTAGGTTAGTCTGTTATAGTTATAGTTAGGGTTAGTGTGGTTATAGTCATAGTTAGGGTTAGTGTGGTTATAGTCATAATTGAGTGGTTAGGTTATAGCATGATCGAGCATTGTTACGCAATTTTTTTTTGTTAAAAATGAAATATAAATAAAAATTATTCGGTAAAAATTATTTTAAAAATTATCTTATGTGATAATATTAATGCATAGGTGCAAAACCACTATAGGTGCAAATCACCATAGGTGCGTTTTAGTAAAAGTGATACTATTTAATTTCATATATATTAAATTCATTTATGTCTATAAATTTAATATACTATATAAAACAAAATATTAAATAAGACAAACCCAATAATGGTTTATTATTTTAATAACCTATAAAATAAAATTAAACAATGTAAGTACTTTTACTACTACAATTTTATCAGCCTATAAACTATTATTACCTATTATAGTATAGCTAATACAAACTAAACTGCTATTTAATAAATATTGTAATATTATAACACAAGCAACTCACTCATTTAAGTAGAGTATCATAATTATAGTTTATCAGATTATTATATATGTTATTTTTCTAATCTATGTTTTTATAGCTTACTCTTCATCTACTTCTCTCCAACTATTCTTATGTCTTTTTACTACTATTCCTTCCACTTTATTAATAAAATGATCACTTTTATATATTTACAACATTCTCACTCTAAACACAATTTAGAACAAATTGAATAAAATATTCTAAATTATTACAATAAATATAATCATGGAATATTTCAACTATATAATTATAATACAACTATAATCTATTGACAAAAAGTTTTACAACACTGTGCCAACTTTGTACTTATAGCCATTCCTAAATTTTCAATTGCAATCATTTAATTGACAATCACTTTAAAGATACCACATTTTACTGACAAAACTATTTTATAGATAATTAATTTACAGACAAGTTCAAATATATTTTATTGACAGCTCATTTCACAAAGTAATTCTAGTCATTGCTGTTAAGGTTAGTGCAATTTATAAAAAATGGTTGTCAGTAAATTGAGCTGTTTGTGAAATATACTGTTTACAAAAGAAATTGCCTGTTGTTAACAGTAGAAGTGTCTAAAACACTGTGAGAAATTTTCCCAATAATTTGTCTTGAATTCACTGCTAATTCTTTATCAAACATACAAGAACCATACAGTGCTGACAAAAGTATTTCCACACCTTTATCTCCTAATGGAGAGGTGCTACAACTATAAAAATTTCAAGAACATTAGTACATATATTGGTTAGATTGTGTATTTATTTTTACAATTTTTAAATTGCTAGAAAAAAGTTTAGATGAGAGCAAATCTTGAGCTATTTTTTTTAAAAAAATGAAAAAATTAGTTGAAATCAAAAAAATTTAATATATTGTTAAGGTTTAAAACCAAAAAATTCTAAAAAATATTATATTTAAATCCAATAATTTCTGAAATAGTAATAAAAATTTTGGCTCAATTTGATGAGATAATAGTTGAGAAATTAATTTTTAAATTTTGAGGTATATTTTTAAAAATTACAAAATAAAAGTTTTCTCAATAGAAACTATCTTGATATTTTGGTATCATCCAAATTATCTCAATGAGACAATTCGAATATACCTAAATTATCAAATTTAAACTGTTAGAACATGAGATATCCATGAAAAACATTTTGCAACACAAAAAGTATTAGGTATTGACAAATCAAACAATATTAAAATAAAACTCAAAAATTTAAAAATTAATTTCTCAATAACTATCTCATCAAATCGAGTCAAATTTTTTGTTACTACTACAGAAATCAATGAATTTTAAATATATTAATTTTTTGGAATTTTTAGCTTAAAGCCTTAACAATATATTAACTTTTTTTTTAAATTCAATTAATATTTTAATTCTTAAAGCCTTAACAATATATTAACTTTTTTTTAAATTCAATTAGTATTTTAATTTTTTTTTAGATAAAAAACGTTCCAACTTTAGCTCTCATCTAAAATTTTTTCTGCCAATTGAAAAATTGTAAAGTAAATACACAATCTAACCGATGTATGTACTAACGTTCTTAAAATTTTCAAGGTCGTAGCACCTCTCCATGAGAAGATAAAGGTGCGGAATTACTTTTGTCGGGTAATGTAAATAAACCGATATCAAATCGTGAAAAAACCATCACCGCATAGCCCCATAAAAGGAAAGGTTTAACGAATAAGGGGATATAATAATTTAGATAAGCTTGTGGCCATATCAGGTTGTCAAACTTTATACTCAACGAATGATGGATGAATTTGGATAATCGTACAATTGAGAATCGTAATGATGCGATGGGCTTAGATCTAGAAGTTTGATCTTGTCTCCCCGCATGTAAAATTAACAATAAATAAGGCCAACTTTTGTTGCCTTGTAAAATGGTTGGTTGTACCACCACAGTTTATAATAAAGTTGCTTTGTGATTGTTTATTTATTTGCGCGGGTAATACAAACCAAAAAAGGAAATCAAATTTGTAAATAAACTAAGTGCGTACAGAATTAGGACGTTAGGATTGTGATCTTTAGGAGTTTCTTGTATGTAAAATTTCATCCCCGTTATTTTTTTATTTGTCCACAAAGGTCGATTAAACAATAGTTTTTGAGTATTTTCATTTTATTTTCATTTTATTTTTTTCGCACGTATTCGGATTCTATGTCGGGCTGATCTGGAATACCCGAAATTTGTGTTCTCTGATTGGCCATTTCCTTTTTAGAGGTTTGTATTACCCGCGCAAATAAATTGAGGTACACTTTAGCTTTGATAATCATATATGCCTCACCGTTATTGGTATACTGTGTTGTGGTGATTGCCTGCTGTCCTGTTATCACCAACACTGTTAATTAATCACTGTAAAACAAGCTTGTCGGTAAATAAGTGTCGATGAAATGGGTCTCTTCGAAGTGATTATCGGTGAAAAGTGATTGTGCCGATTCATGTGCTTTTTTGTTGGGCACAAGCACAATAGTGAGACCAAAAATATACTAAATATTTTGTGTATTTGTGAAACAATAAATTACCAGCAGTACGTAAGTACGGTGCAGGAAACCTAAAAACTTTAATCACTTTATATAGAATAAAGGCTAACTCATTGAAGATAAACTAAATTCGTCACCTCAATAGCATGCTATTTGCGTAAATATTGTTCTTGCTTATTGAGATCGATAATTTAGGAAATTTATATTGCATCATCTCTACATAGAATATTGGGATTTTTAAATTTTCTGCACCGTACGTTCTCACTATCCCTCCACTATAAAGCCTAGGCGCCCTGGCCGTTTCGTATTTTTTTGAGCTTCTGTACAAAATAAAGAAAAAGAAATAAATAGACATAGAAAATTAAATTGGTCTTTTTTTTTTAAAAAAAAAAAAACAAATAATAAATAAATAAATAAAATGGATTTTTTTTTATGTCGGCGCTAGATATGAAGAAGGGTCGGGATATGGTGGTAAAAATAAGAAAAAAGCATTTGAGCATTATCAAAAATCTGCCGATATGGGTTGTGTAGAAGGTATATTTAATGTTGGGCGCTGTTATGAAAAAGGAATTGGTGTTGAAAAGGATGAAAAAAAGGCATTCGAATATTATAAAAAATCAGGTCATGCAGAAGGTGTATTTAATGTTGGGCGTTGTTATGAAAAAAGAATTGGAATCAAAAAAGATGAGTTCAAAGCTTTTGTGTATTATCAAAAATCTGCCGATTTGGGTTTTGTAGAAGGCATATTTAATGTTGGGCGTTGTTATGAAAAAGGAATTGGTGCTGAAAAGGATGATAAAATGGCATACAAATATTATAAAAAATCAGCAAAAATAGGTCATGCAGAAGGAGTATTTAATGTTGTGCGTTGTTATGAAAAAGGAATTGGTGTTGAAAAGGATGAAAAAAAGGCATTCGACTATTATAAAGAAGGTGTATTTAATGTTGGGCGTTGTTATGAAAAAGGAATTGGTGTTGAAAAGGATGAAAAAAAGGCATTCGAATATTATAAAAAATCAGGTCACGTAGAAGGTGTATTTAATGTTGGGCGTTGTTATGAAAAAGGAATTGGTGTTGAAAAGGATGAAAAAAAGGCATTCGAATATTATAAAAAATCAGGTCACGTAGAAGGTGTATTTAATGTTGGGCGTTGTTATAAAAAAGGAATTGGAATCAAAAGGGATGAGTTCAAGGCTTTGGTGTATTATCAAAAATCTGCTGATATGGGTCTTGTAGAAGGTATATTTAATGTTGGGCGTTGTTATGAAAAAGGAATTGGTGCTGAAAAGGATGATAAAATGGCATTTGAATATTATAAAGAATCAGCAGAAATAAGTCATGCAGAAGGAGCATTTAATGTTGGTTATTTTTATGAATATGGAATTATAGTCAAAATGGATGAATTCAAGGCGTTCGAATATTATAAAAAATCAGCCGATATGGGTCATGCTGAAGGAGCTTTTAATGTTGGGCGTTGTTATGAAAAAGGAATTGGGATCAATAAGGATGGGTGCAAGGCTTTTGGGTATTATCAAAAGTCTGCCGATATGGGTTGTGTAGAAGGGATATTTAATATTGGGAGTTATTATGAAAAAGGAATTGATGTCGAAAAAGACGACTGCAAGGCATTTGAATACTACCAAAAATCTGGTGACATGGAACATAATGGAGGAATAGTTAATGTTGGGCGTTGTTATGAAAAAGGAATTGGAATAAAAAAGGATGAATGCAAGGCTTTTGAGTATTATCAAAAATCTGCCGATATTGGTCATGTAGAAGGAATATTTAATGTTGGGCGTTGTTATGAAAAAAGAATTGGAGTCGAAAAAGATGACCACAAGGCATTTGAGTACTACCAAAAATCTGTTGACATGGAAGATGCTGAAGGAGTATTTAATGTTGGGCGTTGTTATGAAAAAGGAATTGGAATCAAAAAGGATGTGTGCAAGGCTTTAGAGTATTATCAAAAATCTGCTGATATGGGTTGTGTAGAAGGAATATTTAAAGTTGGGCGTTGTTATGAAAAAGGAATTGGTGTTGAAAAGGATGAAAAAAAAGCATTCGAATATTATAAAAAATCAGGCCACGCAGAAGGTGTTTTTAATGTTGGGCGTTGTTATGAAAAAGGAATTGGTGTTGAAAAGGATGAAAAAAAGGCATTCGAATATTATAAAAAATCGGCAGAAATAAGTCATGCAGAAGGAGCATTTAATGTTGGTTATTTTTATGAAAATGGAATTATAGTCGAAATAGATGAATTCAAAGCGTTTGAATATTATAAAAAATCAGCCGGTATGGGTCATGCTGAAGGTGTTTTTAACGTTGGGCGTTGTTATAAAAAAGGAATTGGTGTTGAAAAGAATGAAAAAAAGGCATTCGAACATTATAAAAAATCGGCAGACATAGGTCATACAGAAGGAGCATTTAATGTTGGTTATTTTTATGAATATGGAATTATAGTCAAAATGGATGAATTCAAGGCGTTCGAATATTATAAAAAATCAGCCGGTATGGGTCATGCTGAAGGAGTATTTAATATTGGGCGTTGTTATGAAAAAGGAATTGGTGTTGAAAAGGATGAAAAAAAGGCATTCGAATATTATAAAAAATCAGCAGACATAGGTCATTCAGAAGGAGCATTTAATGTTGGTTATTTTTATGAATATGGAATTATAGTCAAAATGGATGAATTCAAAGCGTTCATATATTATATAAAATCAGCCGATAAGGGTCATGTTGAAGGTGCATTTAATGTTGGGCGTTGTTATAAAAAAGGAATTGGTGTTAAAAAGGATGAGAAAAAGGCATTCGAATATTATAAAAAATCAGCAGAAATAGGTCATGCAAAAGGTGCATTTAATGTTGGTTATTTTTATGAATATGGAATTATAGTCGAAATGGATGAATTCAAGGCGTTCGAATATTATAAAAAATCAGCTGGTATGGGTCATACTGAAGGAATATTTAATGTTGGGCGTTGTTATGAAAAAGGAATTGGAATCAAAAATGATGAATGCAAGGCATTTGAGTATTATCAAAAGTCTGCCGATATGGGTCATGTAGAAGGAATATTTAATGTTGGGCGTTGTTATGAAAAAAGAATTGGTGTCGAAAAAGACGACTGCAAGGCATTTGAGCACTACCAAAAATCTGGTGACATGGA